ACGGTCTTGTTGCCCTGGTAATTGGTTACTATGCTTTGTCCTCTTTTTAGAGTGTGCAAAAATGTGCATTTGCCAGAATCCTGCAAGACCTGTTTCTTGATGGTTGATAGTCAAACTAAGTCCGACGGTGGGCCCGTGGTGAGCACTGCCGATAGTGATAGCACCTCATCCTCATCCATATTTGTCAATACCATTGGACCGTGAGGGGAAGGACTCCGAAGGAGTGATCACCAGTGGAATCAGAAACTCTTTCGTGTTGCCTGCAACCCTATCTTTCGTCGACAGGGTCTGCATCGGCAAGGACATATCCAACTGTTTAGCTAAGCGGGATTTCCCTTGTTTAGATTTAACTGTGCCGGGGGAAGGATGAGTACTAGGCTTCAAAGAACCTTTTTTACCCTTCATCCCGACAACTTTTTTCTTTATCGCACACTGTTTCTTTGCAGGGGAACCCCCCTCGGGGGAGAGGTTGGTCTCTCTCTTATCGTAGGAACCTCTTCTGTCACTTATGTCACTGGAGTCCCGTTATGGCTTCCCACAGAATGGAACTCACCCCTATCTGAACCGGAGGGATCCAATGGATGGTCACTCGTGGCATCTTTTAATCGATATAGGCTTTTAACGCTAAGATCCGAGTCGTAATCCGCCTCGTCCTCGGACGAGGTATATGCCACATTTTGAAAAACTCGCGATTGGTGTAGATGCCCAGTCCTATCTGTCCAGGTCAATGGATCTTCATCCTCCCCCTCGTCCTCTTCATCTTCAGACGGGGTGGGGGAGGGAATTCCTTGACTCGAACGTACTTCCTTCGCGTGTAGTACAATCTCGTTACCTTGTGGGATAAAGAACTCATGACTACTACCCCGGTTGTTTCTATTGTCTCTTTTCTGTTTCTCATTACCCGGTGTAACCCGATCCTCTTCCATCTTGTCAAACAAGAGTTTGTTGGCTTTTACCTATTTCCATATCCCTTTCCTCCCCCAGCTTGTCATTCCCCCTGTTTTTGCCCACCTCCGATATGGGTTTCTCCAACTGTCCATCCTTCTCTTCTTCCCTTTCGTCTCTCTTTCTGTTTGTCCCCCTTAGTGCCCTCCTTGTCTATCCGGATCTTCTCCCACCGCATCCTCTTCCCTTTATCCCTTTCCCCCATCTCCTTGTTTCCCTCTTTCTGCCTCCCCCCTTTCTCTTCTCCGCCCCCTTGGTCTTTCCTTCCCCCTTCCTCTCCAATTCCAAATCCCTTCTCCTTGACCACCTTCAAGTAGGATTTTTTATTCTTCGATTGGCAGTCCTCATCTCCCTCTGAGCGGAAGTGCCTTCTACAGTCAGGGCACCATGAAGTCTCTGTGCACACCACCTCCAGTTCGACATAGCCATCTGGCCCCAGGTCTATTACCAAATATCTTTGTAACGAAGACGGGCCGCTGAGTCAAGGTCAAACCTCACATTCATAAGGTCTGGATCTAACCAATCTTTGAAGGCAGAATATTCCTTGATCAGGTCGCTGCGATATGCCATGATGCATCACACATTGCCCTCGGGAGAAGGGGGAGTACCCCAATCGGGACCTGTTGACACCAAATCCAGAAGAAACGGTGTCGAGCCACCTCCCTTCACTCCCATAGTTCATTTTCGGTCATCCACGGAAATACTATATTTAACTTTGTCGAGCTCGATTTTTGTACAGGACATTCTGAGCATCCATGTGGCAACCTCTTTGGTGGGGGCTATATAGGTAATCAGGTTGCGGCCCTCATTATGGAAGAGGACCCTCTTCACAGGAATTGCAATTTGGGACGTCGTGGCCAATCCATTTTCGTAGATCCATACCAGGCGTTTTTTAACATCTAGTGGGACTGACAAAGATTCGTCTAAAATTGAAAGTCATGTGACGCCCAACCTCACGGCCAGCGCGACTTCCTGATCGGAGTAGGATGTGGGCCTGGAAGTGCAAAAAGGGGTGTGCCAAGGATTTTTGGGGAAGTGGGGGTGGAGTCCCAGGTCAGAAATGAGATCTCCTATGCCAGATTTTTTCGGGGGCACGAGTGCAATTTGGCGGAGAGGACGGACCGCCTCTGGTCATAAGGCTGATGGCATACACGGGTCACTCAAGGCCGGGTGAGCCATTGTTTCTGAGGACAGCGGTTCGCGGGAAGGTCCCTTTGGGGTGGGTGGAGTTCCGATGAGCCAGGCCGTCGGAAGCTGCCACATGGCACCGATCGTCGCGCGTTTGAGTTGGGCCTCCGGAATTTCGGGGTCCTCTGATTGCTGCGTCGTCGGCACTTTCCACAGGGTGTACTAGGCCAGTAGGGGGCGATGGCTTTCCACTGGACGACGCTGAGTAAGTGGTATGGAAGAAGAAGACGAAAGGGAGGGAAACTGGTGGAGATAACGACAAAGCCGGGGTGGGTGAAGTAGTATGTGCGGTCTTGAGCAGGGAAATCAGAGCACCGGGGGTCCCTAGTGGTGGCGCAGTGAAACTCCCTTGGACACAGTCGATTCTCTGTTAGGCAAGGGAATCCCTGTCGGAAGCTTTCTTCTATCCAAGGGGTGAGATAGTCTGGGTCGTACAATAATGACTCTGAGCTTTCGGAGCACGTCATCATGTCATCGTCGAATTGCGAGATGCCTAAGGGCGGGTCTAGGCTGGCTAGGATCACCACGGACGAGCACGTGTAGGTTGCTTGATTCGAGTCGTGCTTACGCGTGTTCGCATGGGATGATTGTTCCGTCGCAGACCCCGGACAGCCGTATCCAATCAAACCGTACTTCTGCAATCGGTGGGCTCTTTCGGAATTGACGAATCGACGCACGGGGGCACGTGTAAAGGCGCAGATCAGGTCGCGTTTACACGCGGCGTTCGCTGGGCAGGACATTCAATTGCCTAATCACTCTGTAATTTTTTTGCAGGCAATAGGCGACAACCACACAGCCCCATCAAAAGATAGGCAAAACGAGAACAGGATTACTGATTGCGCAAAATTCCTATCCTACTCACGAGAGCATCAAATGCAACGAATCAAGGGCAATGGCAAGGATCCGACAGAAAGATAAGTAACCAAACATGGCATCCATACATTCATTCATTCAGCAACATAAACACAATATATCTGAGATGGAAATCGCGAAGACAAGTGTGATCAAAACCCAAGTCCAGGTTCCGAGAAACAGAGAACGGGTAGATCACCCGGGGCCGAAATCAAAATTTATATACACGAGACGGGAGGGAGAAAAGATAAAAGAAACAGCAAATCCACGTCCATCAACCTTAACTCTCTCTTCCTCTCTCTTCTTCTCCGATGCGGAAAGTCCGTTGTCGCGCACCAACCCACGAAGCCGTCACCCCGCTTAGTCCTCCCGCACCCGTCTTGTTCGCCCTTGCCCACAGTCCGCCGTGGCCCGCGTCAACCCTGCGCGTTTGGCACCAGCTCGTCGGGTCGCCCGACTCCTGCTCTACTCACCTCTTATTTCGCTCGTGTGCCGACCCTCTCTGATCGCGCAACCCCAAGCTTCCAACAACTGGTTAAGAGAGCTAACTAATCGCGCAGCCGGAATTTATAGCGTGCATGCATGCACGAAGAACACGGAATTACAAGGACTTAGAAGGGAGATTAGAGAGGGAGCGCCTACGTTCTGTATGACCGGGCCGCGGCGTGGGGGACGTAGCCACTCTCCACGCATCGATCCGATCATGCAGATCGTGGCTACCAACAATGCAGCAAAAGAAAGAGAAGAAGGGCGGGAAAGACGAAGCACAAGAAGAAAGTTACAGTTACAATGGCGCCGGTCCAAAATTACAGTTACACACCCGATTAAAGGCGCCGACTAATCAGAATTCCGTTGCAGCTGCATAAATGAGCGCGTAGGCAAAAGGTGCCGCGCGGCAAAAGAAAGTACTAATTACAAAATTCTAAAATTCCAAACTAATGTGAAAAAGAAAAAGTTCAGGTTCCGAAAGGAAAGTCCGAAATTCCGAGAGCCGTCGGGGCTCGATAAAATTCGAAAAAGAATTAAAAAAGAAAATTCAAAACGAACGAAGCAATTTCCCGCGCGATGTCCACGCCCAAAGAGTTCCGGAACCGAACCAAAAAGAAATGACGTCAACATTTATTAATCGCGCGCCTGGCGGTGCGCCAGCCATCCGACCAATCAATCACCCGTCCCGGGACACACCCAGTTTTGACTGAGCCATCCGAAAAGAATCGACGCAAAAGACGAAGAAGCAAGGGTACAGATGCAAATTTCCCATCCATCCCAATCTCCCGTAATTGGCCCAACCTTCCCAGCTTAAGACCCCTCATTGCAATCGCTGAGAAAGTCGCGCGCTACAGAAAGTGGTTCGTCACATCTGTGACGCCCAAGGGGTTCCAATATTAGCAAGTTCCTGCTTGCTTGTTGACACGTGTCGATCTCTCTAATCGATCGACACGTGGAGCTCTTCTTTCTATGCCACTTACCGTTCGAAGGAGTGTGGACGTCGTCCAATCGTGGCAACACAGCTCTGCTACTTATTCCTCAGGGAGGGCCATCAACAATCCAAGGAGGTGATTGCACGTGTGATCGTCATGACGCGTGCCCATCAGTCATACATCAGCGAGCGCCGGGAGGGGAAAGGGGAGACGGTACATGGAGGGGTGGCGAGGGGGAGGGTTGATGGGTAGCGGGGGAAGGAAGCTCTCTATTCCGGCCACCGTCTACGGAAGTTACTGATAGCGAACGATCCAGTGAAAGCGGGGGAATCGGTTGCCTGTGTGGGGGAGGGATGCGAGGTAGTCGGGAAAGGGCCACGCGGAAGTGATCGTGGTTCTCGCATGCGGGGATAGTCCCCGTAATCATGCAGTATACCTCGATCATATTGTGGCCTCGCCACGCGGCACTAAGGAAAAGGATATGGAGGCAGAAGACAGGAAGGGCACCGTGACATCGGGTGGAGGGGTGGGGATGAACAATGACAGCGAGACGGGTAGTGTAGAAAAAGCGAAAGGTGTCGATGGGGAAGGGATTGTCGGGGAAGGTGACGCGAGTAGAAATCTGGTGGAAAGAGAGGTGGTCAAGGGGATGGTGGGATAACGACAGGGGACGAAGCCCGATGCCCCGCATCGGTACGTGGACGAGTTGGTGGGCGGTCGGCGGCGGAGGGGGAGGGGGATCGGCTTCGTCGCCGTCCGGCTGGTGCGGCTGAAGTCTCGGCAGCTGTCTCCCCATCCTCGGGCTTAGGTTGCTCCAGATCTCGGGCCGGATCGTTGGTGCGCGGCTGACCAGCTGCGATGGCGAACTCCAACTGTCGCTTCCCGGCCGCGATCTCTTCCCTCTTCTGCGCCTGGGCCTGCGACCGAGCTTCGTCACGCACTTCGTCCTCGAATCCTTCCCACTCCGACTCTTCCAATTGGTCCTGATCTTCTTCTTCTTCGTCGCTTTGCTCTTCTTCCTCCTCCTCACTTTGCTCTCCTTCGCTGTGCTCACTGTAACTCCCCTCTTCGGGAGTTTTTTCCTCGTCGGCCTCTTTTTCGGCTTCTTTTTCTTCTTCTGAGCTTTCTTCTTCCGCTTCAATCTCTACTTCCTCGTTCTCGGAAGCTGTCCGATCTAGAAAGAAGGCGAGGTCGACTATCTCTTGCGGGTCCAGATAACCACGTTGTGATGGTGGGTTGCGGCCGCTTCCTGGTTCCTCCAAGCACGCCGACCACTGAAGATATGGCGTCAAGGTCCATGTGAGAACGTGTGGGATTGGGCTGTCGTCGCTTTGCGAGACGATCTCGAGTAGGAGATCGTCGGCCAGCTGCGCAAGGGGGACCGTTAGCTCCTGCACGATCAGTTGGCGATGATCGGGCCGCACCGATCTGAAGAGGAATCCGAGCAGGTCGCCCTCCACTTCCGTTCGCCACGCTTGGATGACAAGCAGCTCGTGGTACTCGGTCCACTGCCGGTGATCCCCATGCCGCGTCCACGTGACCCTTACTCCGACCAGGCACACCGACAGCTCGACGAAGTGTTCTCGCCAACGCCTCCACTGCTGGGGGTCAAGAAGGGGGAAAGCGAGTGATTCCAGACAGAAGGAGAGGTGCGGATGGACTCCGGAATTGCCAGAAGGTAGGGAAGAAAGAGGGGAGGTCGAAAGTGGAGATTGGGAATGGGTTCATTGAGGACGGGGGAAGGGGACGAGTTCCGGGAGCACCACCGCCGGCTCGTGCTGGAAGGTTCGGATCCCGTCAAGGTCGACGCCGTCCGTGGGAAAAAGATTATCCCCGTGGGGCGTGAGCCAACGATTCCACTCCGACGCCAACTGTTGCGCCCACAACCGGAGCGACGTCTTGATAGTTATATGCCGCAGCGGGCTGATGGGGCTGATGTCGCCACTAAAGGCGACCACCGTAGACACGTGCCTCATTCTAGGACCGATCGCTGATGAACTGCTACCGCCTCCGCCAACACAACCGCCCGGGGACTGCCTGCGAAGCGAAACTCGGCGGTTAAGTACACTCCCTGGGTAGAGAAGAATTGCGCAAGTCGCCGGAGGTCCGGATTGATCCGCGGATGATAAACTTGTCGGATCGCTGAGATGTGACACCGTGGCACGAGCAGGGGATCACCTAGAGCTCGCTCCGTAAGAAAACTCATGGCGATGGCGATGGGGACGGAGTAACGGAAGGGGAACGAGAAGGAGACGGAGAGACAGGCGCTAGGCAGTTGTCGTCCTCTTCCGCATCGGAGGAGGAGTCAGATGGAGGCAAGGATGGGGAGGAAGGAAGGGGACGAAGGTAGGACACGTGGCGGATGATCAGACGAGCTGATCGGCTGTCGGAGACCTCAGGCGCAAGCCACACGGTGTTCACGCCATTAGGTCCGCGCTCAATCACGCGGAATCGTCCGAAGAATCGTGGCGCTAGCTTGCCCTGGCGAGCACATTTCCTCACCTGCACGATGTCCCCCAATTTGTACTGGGGTCGTAGACCTGCGTTCCCATTCCGGGCCTCGTAGTTTCGGACCTTTCGGTCGTGGGCCAATTCGGTCATTTTCTGGCGTTTTCAGGCTAGACTGGGGAGGGACCATTCCATTAATTATAAGTGTCGCTTGGCCTTGTCTCGTGCTGTGGCCCTTGTGGGCCGGCGGTTGAGCGTTGATTCGTAAGGGAGGCTTGGTATCGAAACGCAAGCGACGCTATTAGTCCTTAATTGGAAGGGGCTCAGGCCCGTCGATTCATGGGGCGTTCTACGATGGACCGCTAGAATGTGGTCGACGATATCGGGCCTGGGCCCCGGATCCCGTGCCGCGATGTTTCGTCGCAGCGCTGTCTTTATCACCTTGTTGGCGTTTTCTACCAGCCCGTTGGATTGTGACATATGGGGCGCGGTGTTCTGCACACTGACACTGTGTATGACTAGGTTCCTTAATACTTCCCCTCTGAATTCTTCCCCGTTATCGGTCAGGATCTCTTCCGTATCCTGGTGCATCCCGAAAAAACGGTTAACATACCGCATGATTTCGGCGGCTTGTCGCGTGCGACAGGGGTACGCCTCGTTCCATTTCGAAAAATAGTCGACGAATACCAACAGGACTGAATATTCACAACTATTAGGACCAGGGGGTACCATGATATCAGTAGTATCTATACTCACCCTTTGGAACGACCGCTCAACTACCGTTGGTACTATCGATCTTGGTGGCTGGATTAGCGCCTTGTGAGCAGCACAGACTTGACAGTTTGTGACGATGAATTTCACATCGTCCCGAATATTGGACCAATATTGTCGATGGCCAAACCCGTAATCCGTACGGCAAAATGGGCTGCCGTTTCCTCATGTGTCGTCTTCACCCAGTCATACCTGATGAACGGATGCGGTACAACCATCCAAATCCCACTGCCGTCCGTTTTCCATTTTTCTAACCTACCCTCTATCCATCGATAATCCCGAGCCCTTTTGTTAGCCCTCCTCCGATCTTCCTTGGTGAAATCCTGGAGGGGGTTACCAACTACGGTGGCAATCAAAGCGATGTCGGTCCATACTTCGGCCCTTCGAAATTTTCGGGTCTTCTCCAACCCTTCTGACCTGGCATCTAGAAAGCGAGCCTCGGTCGGGATCTTGTCAACCCGACACAAGGGGCATAACCACGGTTTACTGTCATTTCGGTATTGGATGCACAAGCCGTGGGCTCGTGCGACACACTGTCGTCGGTCTATCCATTTTGTATACCCTTCCCCGTTAGGACACATGGAGACATAGTATACGCGAGAAATTGCTTCGCAAAAATAACAAAATTTATCAGGGAGAGAGAGAATAGACGAAGAGGAGATGGGAGAAAAAGGGGTAGTGAGGTTACCTCCGTCACCCATTGCCACCGGTCTGCTTCTTGCCACGTGGGGGAACTGCCACTTGTCAATACTTAGGCCCGTTCGCCAGTTCGGACTCCTTCCACAAAGTGATTTCCTCGCCCTTAGGGCCTTAGGCATTTTAGCGGGCCGATGCAGACGCGTCAGTCCGTCCGCGTTGTCGTGTCTTTCTATCTTCAGGTGAATGATGTCGAAGTCGTACTCCTGTAGTCATACCGCCCAACGTCCAATCATGCCCGTGTAATTAGTAAGCTTCTTCAAAGCCAGCAAAGGCTGGTGATCCGTCAAGAGGCGGAACTTCTGCCCATAGAGATACGTATGGAAGTGCTGGATTCCCCAGACTACTGCATAGCATTCGCCTTGGGGTGCTGAGTCATTCCTCCGTTCGTTTGGCACTGTTCGCAACACGTACTCGATGACATGTTTGCGACCATCATTCCCCTTCTGCGCTAAAATAGCGGAAATAGCTTCTGATTGTCAGTCCGTGATAAGAATGAACTGTTTTGAGGGGTCCAGTCGGATCAAAACAGGTGTCGTCGCCAGAGCGTCCTTGAGGGTCGCGAAGGCCTGCTCACACTCCGCATCCCAACTTAGAGGCTGGTCTTTTCGTAACAGGTTCGTTACCGGCTGCGCAATCGCGGCGAAGCCTTTGATGAAACGGCGATAGTACGATGCCAACCCCTGGAAGGCTCGAACCTGCGTCAACGACGTGGGAACTGGAGCTTCTCTCACCGCCGCGACCTTTCTCGAGTCAGGCCGCAATCCTCCACGTGTCACGACGTAGCCCAAGAACAAAATTTTCGAGAGGAAAAATCCGCTCTTTTCGAGTGCGATCTTGAACCCAGAGTCTCTCAGCGCTCCCAACGTCCACCCAATATGTTGTGCATGTCCGTGATAGGTCTCCGAGTAGACAAGGATATCGTCCATGTATACGATCACACAGAAGTTGATCATTCCCTGAGTTAACCGTGTCTTGTTGACGAAGTTCTGGAACGTCATGTTCATCGCTCGCTGAAATGTGGCAGGCGCATTACAGATCCCCATCGGACACAGAACCCACCGCCACATGCCTTCAAAGAACATGAAGGCTGTCTTTGGCCGATCTTCCTCCTTAACCAGAATGTGATGGAAGCCATGCCGAATATCAAACTTACTGAAATAATTAGCGCATCCAATCGCATCCAGCAAATCATCAATCCGTGGGAGGGGATACACATCTTTAATCATGATTTCATTCAGTTTACGATAATCGATGCATATGCGAATTGATCCGTTTTTCTTCGGTACTAGCACTTCAGGAAATGACCATGGTCCGGTGGCGGGTTCGATCCACCCGCGTGCTTCGAATTCCCGAATTCGTTCGAGAGCCTTCTTCCGTTCTATCAGGGAGTATCGGTAGGGCTTGCAATAGATGGGGGAATGATTTGCCGTCTGAATTTCATATTGAATGACCAGTGACAAGCCGATATCTGTGTCTGTTACGCTAATTGCTCCTTGATATTCCGTCAGAATGTCCGAAAATCAGGTACGTACTGGGGGACGTGTAGCTCAAAAAGCTGATTTCAGATACGTACGTCAATTTGCTTCGTGCGTGCCTGTTTCGCCACATCGGGTAGAGGCGCAGAGATAAACGAATGGTCCGATCGCCAGGAGAACATCGTGACCATCATCTGGGCGTCTTCCTCCCAGATGGCCACGTGTCCTTCCGAGGTGATCCCATCGCAGATGTCTTGCCATGGTACGGTTTTAGTTACTATCCTTACTCCGAGCTCGTCTGATTCAACCTCGAGGTGCCCAGGGGGTTCCAAAGAACTGGCCTCCGCCCCTACACGTAACAGTCGTACTTCCTTTGCGGGTGTCAGTAGGGATTTCGGTAAATCTGTGATATCGCAGTAGTGCTTTTTGTCGTTGTATCAGGCGAGGAGAGGGGAAATTCCTTCGTACAGGGTTTGAGGGGGTTCCAAAGAATCGACCATCCTCGAAATCTGTACGAGGGGCTCACCCAAAATCATCGTCTTGATCCTTTGAATGTTCCAACTGGTTAGATGCATCGTTCTTGCGATCGTTCTGAGCGGCGAGTAATAAATACGTTGTCGTGATAGCTTCATATTTCTGGATCATTTCCGTCATTGCTATCCGCATCCCTCGATGATGACTCATTGTCTGCGGAGTCTTCCCAGGTGATCATACGAAGAGTCCCCACTATCATCGGCGAAACTCGCGGGACTGCATTGATGGTAGTTTGAAGAGTCAATCTCATAGGTGCAGCATAGGGTTTTCCTCCCGTATTTCGGAGGATAATTGACCGTCGCTCGAAATCCAAATTCGCTCGTAATGCCACAAGAGCGGGAAGACCGAAAAGAACATCGTAGGTGTTCACATCTAATACCACGACATCTCCCAGTGCATGCACCTTTCCCAATTGAAAAGCGACGTTGGTCATTCGTCCCACTGTTTTAATCTTCTCTTCGTCTACAGAAACGAGCTGGTCCTTCTTTGTAAGCATGATCAGATCGTTTTTCCTACCTGCTCTCTCTACTACTCGCAGTGAGATAGCCAAAACAGCAGCTCTCGAATCAATGATTGCATTGTACGGAATTCCCCTTATTTCGATGTCGCATTCCGTAGATTTCCAAGGGATGGGTTTAATCTGTAGAAAATGATCATCTTTCTGTATTAATCCTACCCGTATCGGATCCGACGTGCCAGCCGTATTTTCATCTGGCGTGGGGCTCTTAGCCTTTACATTCGTTGTTCGGGCGAGGGCGTTTCCGATTCGCCTTACAGTGGTGTAGCATTCGCAAATTAGCTTGTTCAAAAATCGAGAGCAGGTGGCCGATCGGAAGGGGAATCCGATGGTCCAAGGCTCGGATGATGTTGAGCACATCAGTTTCCCCAGAGACGGAGGTGGGTCCTCCCGACTCCATTTCTCCTGGAGAGGGTTGCCATTCCGCCACTTCTTTCTGTTCTGGTGCCGGTTTGATCGTTCCGATCATTCCGAGCCCAGGATATTCAAGCGATACGTACTGATCTAACGGGATGAGCTCAGCAGCCTCTTCCGTGGTTGCTAGCACACTTCCTACGCCTTCCATTTCTTCCATGAGAGCTCCTACCCGCCCAGGTCCGTTAGCGATGGGGGCCGCTGCCATTGATGCGACCCCGACCCGTTGTTGCGGAGGCCAGTGGGGGCAGTCACAGGCTAGATGCCCTGGTTGATGGCATAACAGACATTCAGATTCTTCGAAACTCCCCCGAGGGCAAGCGCCAGGGCCAGCCCTTGTTGGATCGGAGGGGCACGCACCGCGATAGGTCGCATGTTCCTCATCATAGCCTCTAGCCGAGCATTATGCTCTCGCTGTTCCTTTTTGCTTTCTTGGATTAGGCTAATCAACGTTCTGGTCTGCTCGAAAATAATAGTAGACTCATTTGTTCTTACCAGACTTTCAATCGGCGGTGGCGGTGCCGTTCTTACAAGTGTTGGAATCACAGGAACAAGGACACTCGAGATCTCACATGGGGCCGGTCGTTTAGGGCTTACCTGTTCTAGATGGGCGACAGGGTCAGACACAAATCCCATATTCCCGAATTTGTTCTGTAATGCGGCCAGCTCAACTCTTGCCCTCACAAGTTCAGACGAGTCCCCTTCCCTAGAATAGTCTACTCCTTCCAGGAAACTCGCCGCGAACTTACGTTCCATCTCTTCTGTTGCGGCCATAATCTGTTGCAGCGTATGATTGATGGGGGAGAACAACTTTCGCAACTTCGTCCTTACCGTTCGGCTGCGAAGCCCATTAATAAACAAATCTCTCCCGACTTGTTCGCCTCGCTCAATTTTCACAAACATTCGGTAGAACCGGTTTCGATATTCTGCGATGGACTCGAGAGGTTTCTGCACCCGGTCCTTGATCATGTAAAGTGCTTGCTCTGGATGGACATAATCAAATCGATTCAGAAAATCTAGCTCGAAGGTCGGAAGATCTACCCATACATAGGTACTAAACCAATGATGAGTGTCTCCTCCTAATCGACCAGGAATGTTTACCCGCGCTTCGTTATCGTCAGACTACTGTGCTCGGAGCGTGGCCAACCAAGCTCCTGCGAGATGGTGTGCCGGATTGAACAGATAAAGGTCAGGTGGCGTCATGGGAGCCCGTGCTCGTGGGGCGGGTTGATTAGGATTTGGTTGATAAACATTCTACTGCGGATTCGGATTCTGTACATTAGCGTTCATGTTGGCTGCCCGTCGATTAGCCGATCTACTTCGGGTGATGACGGGGTCGCGTCTGTGCGCGTTCCAGGGTCGAGATCGCCCTCGGTTACCCAGATCGCCCAATTAGCGTGCTATTAATCCCAAAACCCGGCCACGTGTCGGGCTCCGATACCAACCTCACGCCCAACGCGACTTCCTGATCGGAGTAGGATGTGGGCCTGGAAGTGCGAAAAGGGGTGTGCCAAGGATTTTTGGGGAAGTGGGGGTGGAGTCCCAGGTCTGAACTTAGATCTCATGTGGCAGAGTTTTTCGGGGGCACGAGTGCAATTTGGCGGAGAGGGCGGACCACCTCTGGTCATAAGGTTGATGGCATACACAGGTCACTCAAGGCCGGGTGAGCCATTGGTTTCGAGGACGGCGGTTCGCGGGAAGGTCACTTCGGGGTGGGTGGAGTTCCGATGACTCAGGCCGTCGGAAGCTGCCACGTGGCGCCGGTCGTCGCGCGTTTGAGTTGAGCCTCCGGAATTCCAGGGTCCTCTGATTGCCGAGCCGTCGGCAATTTCCGCAGGGTGTACTAGGCCAGTAGGGGGCGATGGCTTTCCACAGGACGACGCTGAGTTAGTGGTACGGAAGAAGAAGACGGAAGGGAGGAAAACTGGTGGAGATAACGACAAAGCCGGGGTGGGTGAAGTAGTATGTGCGGTCTTGAGCAGGAAAATAAGAGCACCGGGGGTCGCTAGTGGTGGCGTCGTGAGACTCCCTTGGACACAGTCGATTCTCTGTTAGGCAAGGGTATCCCTGTCGGAAGCTTTCTTCTATCCAAGGGGTGAGATAGTCCGGGTCGTACAACATTGACTCTGAGCTTTCGGAGTGCGTCATCATGTCATCGTCGAATTGCGAGATGCCTAAGGGCGGGTCTGGGATGATAAGGATCACTGCGGGCGAGCACATGTAGGTTGATTGATTCGAGTCGTGCTTACGCGTGTTCGCACGGGATGATTGTTCCGTCGCAGACCCCGGATAGCCGTATCCAATCAGACCGTCCTTCTGCAATTGATGGGCTCTTTCGGAATTGACGAATCGACGCACGGGGGCACCGTGCACGTGTAAAGGCGCAGATGAGGTCACGTTTACACGCATCCTCGCGCAGCGTTCACTGGGCCAGACATTCGATTGCCTAATCACTCCGTAATTTTTTAGCATGCAATAGGCGACAACCACACAGCCCCATCAAAAGACAAGCAAAACGAGAACAGGATTACTGATCGCGCAAAATTCCTATCCTACTCACGAGTGCATCAAATGCAACGAATCAAGGACAACGGCAAGGATCTGATAGAAAGATAAGTAACCAAACATGGCATCCATACATTCATTCATTCAGCACCATACACACAGTACATCGGAGATGGAAATCGCGAAGACAAGTATGAGCAAAACCCAAGTCCAGGTTCCGAAAAACAAAGAAGGGGCAGATCACCCGGAGCCAAAATCAAAATTTATATACACGAGATGGGAGGGAGAAAATATAAAAGAAACAGCAAATCCGCGTCCATCAACCTCAACTCTCTCTTCCTCTCTCTTCTTCTCCGATGCGAAAAGTCCGTTGTCGCGCACCAACCCAAGAAGCCGTCACCCCGCTTAGTCCTCCCGCACCCGTCAGGTTCGCCCTCGCCCACAGTTCGTCGTGGCCCGCGTCAACCCCGCGCGTTTGGCACCAGCTCGTCAGGTCGCCCGACTCCTGCTCTACTCACCTCTTATTTCGCTGGTGTGCCGACCCTCTCTGATCGCGCAACCCCAAGCTTCCAACATTTGGTTAAGAGAGCTAACTAATCGCGCAGCCGGAATTTATAGCGTGCATGCATGCACGAAGAACACGAAATTACAAGGACTTAGAAGGGAGATTAGAGAGGGAGCGCCTACGTTCTGTATGACCGGGCCGCGGCGTGGGGGACGTAGCCACTCTCCACGCATCGATCCGATCATGSAGATCGTGGCTACGAAAAACGCAGCAAAAGAAAGAGAAGAAGGGCGGGAAAGACGAAGCACAAGAAGAAAGTTACAGTTACAATGGTGCCGGTCCAAAATTACAGTTACACACCCGATTAAAGACGCCGACTAATCAGAATTTCGTTGCAGCCGCATAAATGAGCGCGTAGGCAAAAGGTGCCGCGCGGCAAAAGAAAGTACTAATTACAAAATTCTAAAATTCCAAACTAATGTGAAAAAGCAAAAGTTCAGGTTCCGAAAGGAAAGTCCGAAATTCCGAGAGTCGTCGAAGCTCAATAAAATTCGAAAAAGAATTAAAAAAGAAAATTAAAAAAGAACGAAGCAAATTTCCGCGCGATGTCCGCGCCCAAAGAGTTCCGAAACCGAACCAAAAAGAAATGACGTCAACATTTATTAATCGCGCACCTGGCGGCGCGCCAGCCATCCGACCAATCAATCACCCGTCCCGGGACACACCCAGTTCTGACTCAGCCATCTGAAAAGAATCGACGCAAAAGACGAAGAAGCGAGGGTACTGATGCAAATTTCCCATCCATCCCAATCTCCCGTAATTGGCCCAACCTTCCCAGCTTAAGACCCCTCATTGCAATCGCGCAGAAAGTCGCGCGCTACTGAAAGTGGTTTGTCACAGTCACGTCATGCTCACGCAACCATTCGGCCTGGATTTTGTACAGTTCTGGGTTGACAATTACTCTAAGTTAAACATAGTCCTCTCCCTCGTCTACCTTGGATGGAGCCAGGCGAGGGGGAAGGATCCCATCCAAATAGCATTGAGAAATAAAGTCGCGAATGCGCTGTTTGTCTTCCGACGAGCTAGACCGGAGAGGCCCTGGTGAAGCCATGTGGATGCAAACTGAGCAATAATAAACTTAACACGTCTAATTCTAAGCGATAAAAAAAAAGGAAGGAAGAACACCCTTATCATAGTATGAAATGCCTACTTAAGTCGAAGCTTCCAATAAATCGGGATAAATTATTACTTCCTCAGAACATCCAGCAGAAGAGTGAGACTGGGGATGGAATTAGGTTATAACTGCACGTCTTCTCTTCCATCCAGCAGGGTGAACTTCTCCAGTTGAAGCTCATCTCTCATTTAGTCTTCTTCCATTCAGCACGGCTTGTTGACTGGAGTAGCACATAAGTCTGAACATGCAGAGTTGGTTGTGGCCTTATAGTCTCCACCCCTCTTCGAAGATTCTTCTTCTGAGGGTGGACCCTTCATTCCATTTCAACTCTTCCAGAAAATTTTTTGGCATGGGTGCTTTCTACCAATTATCCCACAATCCTGTCCTATCTTCGGAACAGGTAGGCCCTTTGTCTACGTATAGAGAGCCGTGTCCCCATTAATGGGCCTCGCTGCACTACTCTCGAAATGTGCAGAACGAGAGTGAATCTTCCACTAGATTACGGAAAGATACACGCTCATGATTTTTGTGTTTTGTGCATGTCTGAGAGTAGTGCAGCGAGGCCCAATTTCTATCCTCTATCCACTACCCATGCCTGACCAGCCCTGCAACTGAAAAGCCAAGCCCTAGGACTCTAGGAGCAGAGCGATCCCTTCATCTCTTAGGGCATCGCCACACCACTTCCGAAATGTGCAAAATGAGAACGAACTTCTCCCAACAACATGGCCAGATGCACCCGCCACAATTTTGTCTTTTTCACATTTCGAGAGTGGTGTGGTGAGGCCCTTACTGCCCAAAGGACCGTAAAGGCTGTTGTTTTTTTAATTTTGTTCTCCTGGTTTGGTTTTGGTGCCCTGCCAGAGAGGCAGGGGGATTCTCACAGAGCTACTGTATTCTCCTGTATAGATAACTCCACTACTCTAGACTCAATAAAAAATCTAGAGTGAATTATCCCTCCACTACTCTAGACTAGGAACCTCGTCTCAAATTTTCCTTCTAGAGTAGTCAGAATTTACTCAAGAAATTGTCTAGAGTAAAACGTCGTTCCACTTACTCAAGAACGGAGCCCCGTCAAATCGCATTCTAGAGTTGTCAGGGGCACCCACAACTGCGCACTCCACACCGATCTAGAGTGCCCGCCTGCAGCGGCCGTTCTCTCAAGAGTGGTCCCTGGTTCCCTTGCCTTGGCCTAGAATTCCGTGAGTGCGTCGGGTGTCTGGGCCGACAAGAGTCTGCAGCGTTGTTGTTAGTACTCTAGATCGAAAATATTTTTTTTCTTGAGTACGGCCGTCTCGAGTGCGTGGAGCGATCACACTAAATTCACGCTACTCTAGACACTGACAACTCTAGATCTACTCTAGAAATTTCTCTTGGGTCTAGAATAGTGGAGCGAAACCCATAAGGGAGTTTGTTTGTTTGTTTGTTTGTTTGTTTGTTTGTTTGTTTGTTTGCTTGCTTGTTTTTTAAGCCATCAAAGTAGTCCTCACTAGCGCCTCATTGGGCCTCCCTGCACTACTCTAGACTCTCAAAGTTTCAAGAGTGGGTTGGGTCTTCGCTGCACTTACTCTCGATAGGGAAACTCTCGAAACCAGATCGAGAGCTGTCAGAAGGCACTCTATAACGCCACTCTCAAAATGTCGAGAGTCGCCCGCCTGCAAAACACGAATTCGCAAGTGTCCTCGGGAGCTGCCCGCCCACCGGCTCGTTTTTCGAGAGTGGACCTCCTGTCCCGGTGGCCAGACCAGCCTGGCGTTGTCCCGTAGCGTAGCGGTACATGTCTTCTGTCAAGTCCGACGACGTCCGGGGTTTCGAGAGTGCAGCTAGTGTAACAGCTTCTACATTAAGTGCAGCGAGGGCGGTTATTTCGAGACTCTCGCCTCTCTGACAACACTAGTTGAACTCTCAAAATATTTCGAGAGTCTAGAGTAGTGCAGCGAGGCCCGTTATCTGGCCACAGCATGTGTGGAGCGTGATAGATTTTTGCTTTGTTTTTCTTTTTTTTATTTTGTTCGTGTCCTTATGGTCCCCTGCCAGTGAGGCTGGGCGGATTCGACGCGAGCCTGCAAACTACCTCACCCACCACATACTGAAACTGGAAAAACGAAAAAAAAAAAAAAGAAACTGGTACTAGTGTAGCGTTATCGGACCGTGATCACAGCATACGGGATGTTTTTTTTTTTTTTTTTTTTTKTTCTCCGTTTCTTGGTCGTAGGACAGACGCCCGATGTGAGGGCATAATGCACGGTCATTAATCGGTCCAGACACAGACACAGGTGCAATGACAGAGTACAACGACCACTCGTTCTATTCGGGTGAAAGCCTGTGGGCCTTGGCCAGTGAAGGCCTACAGGCTTCCCCCGAATACAACGTATGGTGATTATAGCTGAATTTGGGGTAGCCTTCAGTGTCTACATAGGGGCTCTTTCGACACTCCTTGGGGCATCTTGGGGGTTTTCAAGGAAATTCCCGCCATCGTTCCACCTGTCCTCGGGGATGTCGCCCGAGGACATTTCCTTCGCCCGAGGACATTTCCTTCCAACGACGTCAAACAAGAGCCTTCGGCCAATAGGGTGCCGCCGCGATCCAGATTCTCGGTTGTAACGTCTCTCTACCCATGTGCCCACTCCTCTCTGTGAAACGTGGATTCCTTTTGCCCGAGGGACCTCGTGAGGTCCTTGGGCAAAAGGAAGAAATGGCTGGGGAATCCGAGGAGCCCAATGAATTTCCTTCGGAGTGTTTTCACTTTCTTTTTTCCAACTGCATCACCGCGGATAGGTGGAATGAACACACTTTCGTTTTTCCGACTGCATCACCGCGGATAGGTGGAATGAACAATTCCTCGGGGACTTTACGTGCCCGAGGAGTGTCGAATGAGCCCCATAGAGCTATAATGCCCGAGAAGGTAGTTCACTACTGGCCATCGGCCAACATTTTTTATGCATCAGTACAGCCACGCTGTTCAGATTCATTCACAACTTAGGCGGATGGCGAGGGGTTCAACTTTCGGTCCAGATGCAGTGATAATGACCGGGCGTTCTATTCGGTCCAGATGCAGCTTTCGGTCATTGCAGCTGTATTTGTTACAACTTTGGGTCCAGATGAGCTGTATTTCGCACAACTTTCGGTCCAGATGAGCTGTATTTGGCACAACTTTCGGTCCAGATACGGCGAGAATGACCGGGTGTTCTATTCAGGTAAAGACGGAGCGGTAGGCCCTTAGCAGGGCCCCTGGGAAAGGATGACAAATGAGAACGAACTTCCTGCTAGAACATGGCCAGATGCACCCACCACATTTTGGCCTTTTTCACATTTCCACTGTGATGTGGGGACGGCCAAACTCATGGTTGCCATTTGGCTTGCAGCCATGGAAGAGGCGGTCTAGAAGTTTTTTTTTTTTTTTTTTTTTTTTTTTTTTTTTTTCTCTCTCTAAATCACTATCTCTAATTTTTTTTTTTTTTTTTTTTTTTTTTTTTTTTTTTTTATAGAGGAAACAGTCAATGAAACGAGGCGGCTTTAGCTTCAGCAAATTCAACCTCAGCAAATCTACCTTACTGCAATCTACAAGATTTCTACTCACGGCAAACTCACACTACTGGTAGGACGTTTTTTATTTTATTTTTAAAACTACACTATGTTCTTGTCTCAAATTCTTTTTTCCCCTTTCACTACCTTCCTACCACTACTCCTAAAGGTATACATTAAAAAAAAAAAAAAAAAAAAAAAAGAGAGAAGGTAGGACCTTTTCAAAAGGCGCTGTTTTAATAAAAAAAATAAAAATAAAAAAAGGCGCTCTTTTTTGGATGTGATTACAGCCAGATGCGTCCAGCAGGTCTCCCTTAGCTAGTCATTATTGCAGTCGCATGCAGATAGAAAAGCGCCAGTGCGAGTATGGCCTCAGCGGGTACGCAATAGGGATCTCGGTCTCCTACTCACCAAATGGCAGAGTGCCCAGTGTCCCAATGGATATTGCAGTTGAACGCCCTCAGGTCGATTTGCCATTTTCACATATGGGCAGTGGAGAAATGAGAGGAGGGCCCTCACTCCATGTCCTCTTTGTCCTTCCGACTCCTTCGCCTTCCCTCCCCCCTCTCCTCCACATGTCTTACAGCCTATATGTGCATATATATGTATATATATACGCGTAAACCAGCGGACTGATATGCTTCCGGGTACACCACTCCGGACTCTTCTGACCAGCTCAACGAGCGCCACTGCGTATTCGTGCGGTACCCTATTCGAGAGCAAAAGGAAGAGAGAGAGAGAGAGAGAGAGAGAGAGAGAGAGAGAGAGAGAGAGAGAGAGAGGCATCAGTGGAGCTATGACTATGGCGATGGCGAAGGGGAGGGCTTGGCTCACGCTATTTCTGCTTCTAGCGTCGACGTTTGCAGCCGGAGCCTTTGCCAAATCTTCAGCGAAGGGACGCAAGAGCTTGGGGGCTGACACGTCACACCTCTCTACTACTGATAAGGACGATTATTCGAAGAGAGAGGTTCTGCAAAGTGCGTGCGGCGGCCCCCGACCTTGGTTTCCTCCCTCCTCCCTCCTCCCTCCTCCCTCCTCCCTCCATGCCTCTCTTCTTACCAGCCTCCCCTGTCCAAATGCTGCTTACTCTCGCCGGTGTCGTCCAAAGTGGGACGTTGCTAAACGTTCAGTACAAATCTTGGGCCGAGTTTAACGTAGTTCTAATCAGTAATCAACCACTCACGTTAATCAATCAATCATGTCAATCAATCAATCAATCAATCAAGCAAGCAATTAGTCAATCAATCAATTAGACAATCAATCAATCACTGATGTCGAATCCACTTCCCGTTTGCTCTGATTTGCTTCGAAATGGCCTAGCATGCGCTTTCCCATTTTCGCCGTCCGTTTCCCGTTCCGTTTCTTTCGGCGGCACCAAGATCAATTATAGTTCTCCGTTCCGTTTGTGGCGGTTAGTCAGTCGTGAAGGTTCCCGGATGCTTCTCGTAAAGCTGCAACTTCGGTGCAACGGATGTGATTCATTGACGTGTGATCGATCGATCGATCGATTGATTGATTGATTGACTGATTGATTGACTGATTGATTGATTGATTGATTGATTTACTGATTGATTGATTGATTGATTGATAGATAATGATTGATTGACTGATTGATTTATGCATGGGTGAAATAGTTTTATTCACTCACACAACGCAATAATTATTTTTCATGTTCCTGAAGTCTCTCAAAGTAGAAGCACAATAGTCGAATTATTTGATATATGGGTAAACTACGCGGGAGTCACAAAAATGAGTTATAATGGCACTACGTGCCAAGGTACAGTTTCGAATTGCAGTTTGGGCAATGTATACAACCCAGCTTTCTGGCCAGGTGTAGGGTGCCCGAATGCCCCGAAGTGCAATTGCAAAAACTGTGTCTTGCCCCATTGATCGATTGTTTGCTTAACTCATTTATTCAAGAACTTGGCTGCTTGCTTGATTGGTTGATTGATTGGTTGATTGATTGGTTGATTTATTGGTTGATTGATTGATTGATTGATTGATTGATTGATTGATTGATTGATTGAATAGACTACTTGCTTAGTTCAGTTCATTGACTGTTGTTATGCCAAGGCATTGCCACACTTCGATCAAGTATCTACTTCCCCTCCTCTTCTTTGCCCTTCCTCTCCTCTTCTCCCCCTCCTCCTCACCTCGTCCCACAGCAGCGCTTACCCTCTCTCTGATTTCGTGAGCACTTATGGCTCGCTTTGATATCTTGACCTTTCACTTTGTCTCCTTTTTTTGTTTGTTTTCTCCTTTTTTTTTTTTCCCCCCCCCCTTTCAGTTACAAACATATTTTTTGCTAGCTTGAAATAAAAATGATGCGGGGGCCCCCTCGTTCCGATTTGACCCCTTATTCATGGGCTTATTCCGAGCCCGTTTTGTTGTGATTTCTACTAAACCCGTGGGCTTGATTTTTTTTTTCCCCCTTCTTTTTTAATCTCCCGTGTCAATGCTTCCGCCTCCCTCCCTCCCTCCCTCCCTCCCTCCCTCCCAGCTGTGGATGGACAATCGCCCGAAGCACAGCTTTGGTCACCATAGCCCACCATAGCCCACCATAGCCCAACATAGGCGCGGCACGTTGTAACCCGTCACCCGTGCAAGAGAAGAGGGGGGAGGGGGGGAAGGAGGGAAAAGAAATGGTTTGGGCATCCTTTTTTTTTCAGCCACGGGCCAAAGGCCCACTAACCAAGAGGAGGGGTTTGAAAACACCTGAATGGGGACGTGTTTGCGGAGAGGTGCAGAAAATCGAGCATTTCGGCATCTCTTCTCAAAACCCATTCACATTCCGGCGCTTAATCCAGTCCTGATTGCTTGTGGGACCTCGCCCACGGTGTCGCCTCCTACCCAATTTCTTTCTTTTTTTTTTTTTTTTTTCGTTTTTT